GGCGTGTAGACAGGCAGACAGACAGACAGGCAGACACGCAGACAGACAGGCAGACACACAGACAGACAGGCAGACACACAGACAGACAGACAGGTAGACAGGCAGACAGACAGGCGGACAGACAGGCAGACACATGGATACACGGACAGACAGACAGACTGACAGACACACAGACAGACAGACTGACTGACAGACACAGACAGACACAGACAGCAACACAGACAGACACACAGACAGACAGACTGACTGACAGACACTGACAGACACACAGACAGACAGACAGACTGACAGACACACAGACTGACAGACACAGACACACAGGCAGACAGACAGACTGACAGACACAGACAGACACACAGACAGGCAGACAGACTGACAGACACTGACAGACACTGACAGACACACAGGCAGACAGACAGACTGACAGACACTGACAGACACAGACAGACACACAGACAGGCAGACAGACTGACAGACACTGACAGACACTGACAGACACACAGGCAGACAGACAGACTGACAGACACTGACAGACACAGACAGACACACAGACAGACACACAGACAGACAGACACTGACAGACACACAGACTGACACTGACAGACACAGACAGACACACAGGCAGACACACAGACAGGCGGATAGACAGGCAGACACAGACACACAGACAGACAGACAGACTGACAGACACACAGACTGACACTGACAGACACAGACAGACACAGACAGACAGACAGACTGACAGACACTGACAGACACTGACAGACACACAGACAGACAGACAGACGGATTCCTGCACCCTGAGCTAAGCACACACCCCCCCCCTCCCCATTACTCAAATCCCGGCCTCCCAAAATCCCCTCCCCCGTTGCCCTGATCCCGGAGCCGCCGCAGACCCCAAAATCCTGCCGGGGTTTTTTTGGGGGGGCCCTTCCAGCTGCACCTGGGGGATTTCTGGAATTCCTGGGTTTTTTTCCCACCTCTCCCCTCCCCTGAGTTTGGGCCTCAACAGCTGCCCAGATGTGCGGGGAGGAGAGAAAACGGGGCGGATAAAAGGAATTTTAGGCTCCTGTGCATTTTGGGAAGAGGGAAAATCGAGCAGATAAAAAACTTTCAGGTTCTTGTGTGTTTTGGGAGGAAAGAAAATGGAGCAGATAAAATCTTTTGGGTTCCTGTGCCTGTTGGGAAGAGGGAAAATTGGGGAGATAAAAAACTTTTGGATTTCTGTGCCTGTCGGGAGGAAAGAAAATCAATTACAAAGAAAACTTTTAGGCTCCTGTGCCTGCTGGAAAGAAAAAATCAAGCAGATAAAAAAACTTCTGGCTTTTGGGAAGAGGGAAAATCAAGCAAATAAAAAATTTTTTAGGCTATTGTTCCTGCTGGAAAAAGAGAAAAATCAGACAAATAAAAACCTTTTGGGTTCCCGTTGGGAGGAGGAAAAACAGAGCAGATTAAAACTTTTTGGCTCTGTGCCTGCTGCTGGGCGCTGCTCAATCCTCTCCACGTGGATTTTCTACGCAGGCTGCACCCAATCCCTGGCGTTTTTTTGCTCCCTGAGCTGCAGAAATGAGATTTTCCTGGGAAGTGTCGGAGGCTGCAGGCAGCCAGCCCCGCACGGAGGTGCTGCCCTG